AGGGTCAAGAGATAAAGATATAACAGCAAACAAAATATTAGTCACCACATTAAGAAGTAACAAATTCTCTTTTGCATTTCAAACACAGGTCTGACATTAGGTCTAAGGTTCTCATTTACAAGCAATCCAAAGTGGCATTTTCAATGGTTTTACAAATCTCCCAGGACCAAAATGCCTATGTGCATTGCTGTTGCTATGCTGTTCCAGGAAAACAAACAACACACCAATTCACCTCAGCAGTGGAATGGGCCATCCTTTCTCAAAAAAAAAAAAAAAAAAAAAAAAAAAAAAGCTTTAGAAAGCCAAGTCCTCTCTAAGTGCACACAGAAACATTAGGGCAGTAACAGGCCACATCCTATTTAGCACACAGGTAAGAATAAGCACTTCATAGTCTTCTTTTCAAACACCTAAGAGCTTCAAGAAAAAAGTTCTAGAAGGTCTGAAGTGGAGCTCTTCTCCCCTCTCCCATCTCCCACCTTTAACAGTGGAAAATGACATAACGAGAACAGTTTGATAAGAAGACGGCTTTCAGTGATTAGGAAGTTCCAATACTTCCAGCAACGTACTCAGCAATTACAGCATGGCAAAAGAATTCATACATCGTATCACTTGCAGTTGCTACTACCAGGAGTTACAAGTTGCTTTACTGGGTGCAGTAAATCATCAGATCTCTTTTTATCCAGATCAGCCATTAACTGCAGAAATGAAGAGTAATGCAAACAAGCTTGCAATGGCATTTTGAAGAGATATACAGCTGCTCTAAATTGCAGCTTTATTAGCTTTTATGTGCCTGGGGGTAGGGAAGTGAGGAGCAAAGCAGAAATCTGATGCATATTTCTCCACATTAGATGCTTAACTAAGGCAGATATAAAACTTCCATTCTAAAAATAAATTAATGTCAGCATGTGTGCCATGCTGAGAGACCCACTCAGAGTTTCAGGACTAAAACAGGATTGATAAGTTCGTTATCTAATTACTGCTTATTAAACATCAGCATATCTTCCCAAATAAACTGGATAAGCTTGTTAGCTGTATAAAGCCGCCGAAGACATAGTAACACTTTTTGCAAGAATGGTGGTTTGGCACCATATCCTTAGTGTTTCCTCAAGTGATTTGGTGGTACACAAGGAAATACAAGTCTATTCTTTTGCTGACGTTGCACTGATGCAGTAATATTACCTAATGTAGCTAAAAGGGAAGGTGACAGCAGAAGACCAAGTAGTAATGATTCATGTCCTGTGGGCATTATAAGAAATGTGTTTTCAGGAAGAGTCCATCCAGAAAGTGAAATTAGCCTCTGGGCAAGGGGCCAGCACGTTGGAAAGGTCCTCAAAACTTGCAATGCTTAAGTAATTGACAGTCTCCATACCAGTCTTGCATGAAAAGATTAATGTCACCTTCAAACCAAGGAAAGTCAATTGTGAATAAAAGCAACCAGTAAGTTAGCAACAGCATAAGCAGCAAAGCAAAGGAGCAACAGGTTAAAAGAAGATCATGACTGGTCAGAAGGGAAGGACAAGAATACAGAGGTCAGAGTATTTCATTGCTTGGTAATCCAAGAGCCAACAGAGAAACTATAAAAGAGACACTGGAATTTGTGTTTTAGGGACAGCCTTTTGTACACGAGCTGATTCACATTTCAAAACCTCTAAGAAACACTAGGTTCCCCCCCCCCAAGTCGCCAGATGCCTTTGCATAGGCTTTCACATAGTTTTTCCTTCACCAGCTGAGACCAGTGGCTTTATCATCAGCAATTTATCACAGAATCATAAAATATCCTGAGTTGGAAGGGATGAGGCACAAGGCTCATCGAGTCCAGTTCCCAGCTCCGCACAAGACTGCCCAAAACACAAACCATAGTTCTGAGAGCATTGTCAAAATGCTCCTTGAACTGGATCCAGCTTGGTGCCATGACTACTGTTCTGGGAAGCCTGTTCCTGTGCTCAGTTACTGGTGATGAACATTTTCCAAATTTCCTTGACACAACCCATGCCGTTCCCTCCGATCCTGTTGCTTTAACCAGAGTGCATAAAACAGCACCCGTCCCTCTGCTCATCTGTGAAGAAGCTGTAGACCATCATGGGGCCTCCTCTCAGACTCCTCTCTAGGCAAAAATTATAAAACAGTAGATGAAAGTGCTACAAAAAGAGAAGCCATGACAACATAACCATGCAGCTAAAGCTGGTATTAGGAGAAAACACTTGGAAAACCCTGTATAACAGTCTTGAGAAAGAGATGTTATTTCTCACAGCAGAAAGGCACATCCTGCACAGTGCAGATTACTGTGGCTTGACGGTGCAAATACAACGGCTCAAAAAAATCCACAAGTCAGTCATTACCATTTTCTAGTTTTAACCACCTCTGCCCCACTACTGAGAGACACAAACAAGTTGCTGCCAGCATATCCAGAAATCAGGAATGAAATGCAGTCACAGCATCTCTGAAATTCCATGACAATCTCCCAGGCACTCTGTAAATCAATTCATCAGTTGAGAGAGGGTTGCACCAACTTGCTAAACAAGATTCTATACTTCCAAGCAATATATTCTTTGTAAAGAAAAAAAAAATTGTGGCAGGATTACTAGAAGGAGGACCTTGAAAACCAGTGTGGCAAATTGGCTTGCTTGGTTTGGATTTTAATTCTTGCAAATCTAGATTTCCCCCCTAAGTGGATCCAGTGAAGTCTTTGGTGTCTGATGCACAGCAAAAAGCCTCTATTTTCTTTTACTGACACAATGTTACTATGAAGATGAGACAAATTATATATATATATATATATTCTATATATATATATGGTCATAATTTTGTTAATTTGTGTACAGTCCTATGTGGAAGAAATAAGTATATGTGGCAGAAGACTGAAATAATGACAATAGCATAAAATGATGTGAGACTCATTTACAATACTGGGTAAAAATGAATAATTAAAATATACACAATTACGTGGTAAACAAGCTGTTCGTGTAATATAAATCTAATGCTGCAGCAATATACTGAACTGGAAGACACTCACAATCTGTGTGTCATCTCAAGCTGTAGACACTGCTCACAATGATTTGTAACTAAATAGGCATTCACTGTATTCTTTTCAGTCTTTAAAGGTGTTAATATGCAGGCTTTTCCAAGAGCAGATACTTTCAAGGAAGCTGCTGCCTCACTACTGTAAGGCTTCAGTATACTTAGCAGATTCCGAGAGTATTGCCTTCATTTTTTTAAATTCACAGTTGACTAATATAAAAATATTACTCATTGTCTTTCTCATTCCCCAAGGTAGTGGGAAAGAACAAAACTAAGAGAAGTTGCTGGAAAAAAAAAAAATAAAAATAAAAAAATCAGTAATTCTGAAACCATGAGGGACGTGAGGTCATCCTCTCAAAAGATGTTAAGCAGTTGGATAGTTTTGGAAGAGTTCTGGTCTATGGCCACTGCAATCACTGAAGCATCTTTTACGTTTATACGAAAACTATTCTTAAGAAATATACTTTTTCCTAACGTTTCAAGACATTTACAACATATTTAACAAAATAAAACACTTTGAGTTTGAAAGAAAAATAAGAAAAGGGCTGCTTTACTTAAAAGAGGATTCTTTGTTTGCTGGATGAAATACTATCAAGAGTAAAATATTTAAATAATTTTGATTTAAAGAAATCACACTGCTTCCTAAAATTCTATTGTGAGCTGAAAAACATTACATCATACATACTACTGTGCCTATGCCAACAAGCCAGAAAAAAAATATACACAATACAGGCATAGGAAAAAATAAAAACTTTTAAGAATCCTTTTGCACCACAGTCACTCTTCCTTTCACACACTGTTAGAATAATATGACTGACTAGTAACTGTTCTGCATTGAGCATAAGCATCCTAATAAGTCAGAAGCCAACTGTGAAGTGCACAGCATTCACCATGGTGGCAACATCCAATTAATTGCTTATCATTAAGACTATTTTCGGATTTCCCACAATCATGGGAAAAACTGAAAGCAGAAAACAGAACATTAGGATCATGGAGCATGAGTGAAATACAGAGAGTGGAAGTATTCAAGAAGAGGTTGTGCATAGCACGTGGCTTGGGTCCACATAGAAGGCAAGCACACACACTGCATCTGAGGCCAACCACTGTTAAGTGACTGAGAACAGCTCCAGTGCCCCTTCTCTGCACAGAGGCATAATTAGTCCTGCTGGCACTAAATTTAATCATCTGAGATAATCTCAAGAATCTCAACTGTAAAAATGATGTGTTCCTCTCCCTCACCTAACCCCAGGTTACACTTCTGTTTACAGATCACCAGAAGCACGTAGGATACATCCTACTGAGTCAATTTTTTTGCACAAAACAAATAGTCAAAATTACATAAACACACTGAGACCACACATTCCCCTAAATTCAGTCTCTCAGGTTTACACACATCTTGCTTGACTTGTACAAAATCTCAGGCAACTAGCAATGCTGTAAAAATCTGCACCATAGACACAGATAACAACAAATGGTTAGGTTAATGGACCTATGGTAAGGGCAATTAGAGGCTATTAATGTCCTTCTCTGTTTTAAATCACCAGAAACATACCATTGATAGGAAACCCCATGATACATCTTTCCAAAGTACACCAGACAAAGAACAAGCAAAAATAGTATAATTAAAATCACTAATAGATTTGGCTTGTTATTAAAAATCAACTTCTGCCAGAGGAATTTAAGTAAGAATGATGCAAAAGCCGAGCTGAATACTTTAGTAAGTCTTTCTACCTGTTTAATGTCAATAATGAAAAGTAATAAAGTGAACTAGACATCTTGCAATATCCATGGATTTTTTTGTTCCATTAATTTATTGTTAAGCAGTCAGTGCCAATGGCAACTCGTTTTATGAATGCAAATTAAATTTTAATTTTTTGTTCCTGGTGGATGTCAATTTTATGCCTGTGCTCTACACTGTATCTACGTAAGTTTGCAGAAGAGTCTGTGACGTGTTATGAAAGCATAATAACGCAAGTGCCTACCTTTTTCAGGAACCGTACTCCATAGGTAAATATATAAAGGTAAAATGTAAATCTCCACCTGCAAAAGGTACAATAGATTAACTCTAGGATACCAGCTTTACACAATTCAACAAACCATTACTTACAGCACCACCAACCCAACATATCCTGGTCACATTAACAGAAGTAGAAGCAAAATTCTGGGCTGTTTTTCTACAACTTTCATTATCGAACATTCTGCTCATCTGCCAGCTTTTTCCCAGCTTCCCACCCACCCTATGAAAATATTATTTAATTTCAAATCAGGAGAAAAATCTTTCAAGGATAATTAAGTTCTGAAAAGTTTTGTAAAAACTACTAATAGAGAACAAAGGACAATTCACAGGTCTGTTGCAGGGAAGTCCACGTGTTATTAAATACTAGAAAACCTACAAGCTTATGGAAAACAGAAGAATCCAAGACAGTGCTCATCACTTCTAAGTGGGAAGAACTGTAATGTTATTACTAAGCAGAGAATTCAAATATGAAAGAGATCTGTAAGAAGCTGGGATTCATTAATTCCACTCTAATAACACTGTTTCTTTTGAAAACTGCACTCTAGTTCACTAAAATACTTGTGTGTGTAATTAGAACTTATTTCAGTAGGTGACAATTCAGTACTTGTTTAAATTAAACATTTGTTCCATACTTCCCAGTTTCATTGTTACTCTGCTTCAGAGGTCCTTAGTGTTATACTTGGTTCTGTGGAGATTCATTTTGAAGGCCTCTTATTTGGGAGAGCAGCATTAACATTAAGCCACTTGTGTGCAAAGAACTTTGATTTTCACATTAATTTTTTATGTCTAGGATTGCTATCACTTCTGATACTCCAGAGTTAATGAGCAATCAGATAAAAAGAAAGATTTACTGCAATTATTCTACAGGACCTGACCTCCTATTTAGCACAACAATAATAAGAAATTGTATTCAGCTCTCAACAGGCAATGTTAGACTGCTGCACACAAAATATGGTCTTCAGTGATGAAAAGCATAACATACAGCAAGGAGGAACTGAGCAGAGCAGATTCCAGAAATTCACTCTTAGTTTCAGCAAGAGCATTTGCATCAGATAGGTATGTTGAACATAGGTACATATTTGTAATTTATATCTGCTTCCAGAAAGATTCCTAGCTACACATTTTCTAGAGAGCTTCCTATTCCAAAGCACACATGAAATAACTGCTGGGCTTCTAAGTCTCCTTTCAGAGACAAACTAAAAGTAAAGAGAACAATGACACAGAAGGAGAGAATTCAGCAAATGACCTAAGAACTCATCCTTGCTACTATGGCTGTCTCCCTTTTACAATATAAGGCAGCATACTGAGCATTTACCTACCTTCTGACCAGTTACTGGTATAGGAAAGAAAGGTCAGTGGAAGTATAAGAAAGTAAAAGAAAAGCCTTATGCAATGCAAATTCTTACAGGAATCCCTGTGTGGGTTTTTTTTTTTTTTTTTTTTTTTTTTTTTTTTTTTCCCATCCCATAGAATTATCATAGAATGACCTGGATTGAAAAGTACTTCAAAGATCATTTAGTTTCAACCTCCCTGCCGTGGGCAGGGTCGCCAACCACTAGACCAGGTGCCTAGAGCCATATCCAGCCTGGCCTTGAAGGCCCCCCGGGATGGGGCATCCACAGCCTCCTTGGGCAATTTGTTCCAGTGTGTCACCATCCTCTGAGTGAAGAACTTCCTCCTAATATCTAACCTAAACCTCCTGTCTCAGTTTAAAACCATTCCCCCTTGTCCTTTTCCAGAGGGTTGGAGCAATCACACAAATATGCTTGAAGTAAATACCAATGACTTACTATTCATAACATTCACAGCAAGATGAAATTTAGCTTCATTAGTGAGGCAATACTGTTGAGTGAATCATTCTCAATTATGTATTTTACAGGATAACTTTCTGTCCACATGCAAAACTATTAGCTCACAGCTAATTGCCACCAAAGTGCATTCAGACATTACTGGAATGGTTTCAAACCTGAAAACACTCCTAAGGAAAAAAAAAAAAGGTTAATTCAAATCTTACTCTTCAAAGCTACTTTTACAAATGTTTAGAAGGAAACTTATCAGATATAAATAGCTTTATGACAAGCTGATACAAGAGTGCGTAAGAATATCAGTGAGATTTAAAAGTGCGATACTTCAGCTGCACAGAAATTGTCTCTTATCCTGTAACCTCCAGAGCATTGCAGAGATTATTTATTCATTTGGTATTATATAAATACCAATCCCTTGAAGGGTTCAGTATCACCAGCAACACAGCTCACAGCCTACATGATGGCAATTTCATTAAGAACTACAAAAAGAGAGTACTCTGAGGGGTGAAGGGGAGGTGGAGGTGAGAGTAGGTCTCCTGGTAGAAATCTTCATACTACATGGAACAAACTGCATGGATAGCAGCATGAAGCAAGGTTTTATTTGGGTAACATCTTTCTCATTAGACCAGTTCTATGGCTAAGAAACCTGCAGTTTAAATTCGAAGTCATCTACTTCCTCCAGTGAAAGCTTCAAGACTGCCACTGGAAAAAAAAAATATATATATATATATACATATATATGTATATGTATGATAGATCATATATATGTATGATAGATCCCTCACACAGAGGATTTGGTATGTTACATTTAAAATCCCCTCAATATCACCTTTATTTCACAATTTTCCTACTGCAGCTAGCATCTCAGAGGAATGAGGAGACCCCTTCCTAAGTCTTGCAAATTCAAAAACAATGATTTTCCATTCCACTCACAATCCAAAGTACTGCCACAGCCACAGATCTAAGCTAAAATCCTGGACTACCTCACCAAAGAATTTCTGGAGCTTAGAAGCTTTTGGAGCCAAAAGGTGGGTTTGCCAAAGACCATCAGCTTGCTCCAACTATCTGAGTGCTCCACAGGTGATATACACACACAATATATGGTGACGTGCTGTTGGTCTTCTTTCCTATTACTTTTTTCCCCTCAACCCTCCCAAAAAATTGTGTGAGCTAGTTATCAGAATAAAGCAAGGCTCAGAATTAGGTCATAGAAAAAGCAGGTCTGTATGGGAACCATTGAATCATGGCCTGAAACTCTGATTGATCACCTGAGGCAAGCACTGACTCAGCCGTGGGACACAGGTGAAGGCAATTCAGCTGTGTGACGAGAAGGGCTGGAGCCTGGCTGCACTTCCCTTAGACCCCATTTAAGGGCTGACTGCCACCATGGAAGGATCTCTTCCTGGAGATCGCTCCCTTTGGAGTTTTCCTCTGAGCCCAGGACATGGGTGAGCATTTTCACTCATTTTTTTATTATCCCTTTCCACTGTGATAACATTTCTAGCTAAACGATCTGTAGATAACAACCTAACCACTCTCAATTCTTGCTGATTATACACAGGTCAAACTTAAATAATTAAAAAAATAAAAGCAAAACGTTCATTCCTAGTAAACAACATCTGCAGAAACTAGAGAACCAACAGTTGGCTTGATCAAATTGTTAAGTCAGAATTGGCCCCCAGCTTTTTTGCCATTATTAATCAGCTAGTTCTGGCAGAAGCAGTGCAACAAGGATTTGAGGACTTTCTTTCCATTGCTTTGTATCAGTCAGCTTGCTGCCTTTTCATGGGCTTCAAAGAAAAACTTTGCCTGAGTCAATACCCACACAGAAGTTCCAAGTAGTTTCACATCTTGTTTACCTCTACGTGTAGTTAGTTTCTTGCTGCAATTTATAGTAAAACATCCACCGCCCAAGGTCAAATAGATTCATGAGTCTTGGTTTCAGCTGGGATAGAGTTAATTTTCTTCAGGGCAGCTAGCCCCGTGGTTTTGATTTAGGATAAGAATACCACCATCAACACACTGATGCTCTAGTTGTTGATGAGCAGTGCTTACATCGAGCCAAGGACTTCTCTGCCTTTCATGCTGCCCTGATATCAAGGAGTGCATAGAGAAAGTGACACAGCCAAGACACCGGTCCAAACTGGTCAAAGGGATATTCAATACCATATGGCATCAAGCTCAATCATAAAACTAATTTTCTCCCAAATCTTTAAGTTATTACAATGGTTTTTATTATGAAGTGAATATACCTGATTTAAGTAGCTAAGAAACTATGTTCAAAACTGGAGTAAATGTTTCACGTTAACTATTGCTCAGCTAACATCAATGGCCTTAGCAACATGCTTTATACATAACTGTCTTTTTAAACCTAAAAGTTAGATCCGAGTTAACTACAAATCAACATGCACTGAAATCTATAAAATCCACATTAAATTAAGCCAACAGGTAAAATCATTCACAGAACAAATGCCACTCATGAGGCATTATAATCAGAAGAGATATACATACAGCAAATAGACAAAAAATCAATGGCTGTCACTTCCTTCAGCTTCAGCATCAAAAAAGATACAAATCTACATCTTTAACTGGTAGATGTACCAATAACAATTTACACAAGATCACAGAGATCACTTCACTTTACAATCACACCAGGAATTATCAGGTATTTCTTTACCTGCTTTCCTACCGTGGTGCAGAGCCAGTAATCTAGAACTATCTTGATGCTTTTACTGGTGTATGAGCAGTCCTAGTTTTCCCTCAAACTCTCTTATTCAGTAGCCCAACAGTAAGAAAATCTGCCAGGCTTTGTAAAATCTAGGTTCATTTTTGTCTTGTTACATCTCACATGCCTCTGAATTGTTTGTTAGCCATGAAACTACAGTGTATAGGACCATCTCTTCTAATGAAGCTGTTTTATATGGCAGAAAATATTCCATGACTTGAGAGGAAGGACAGGGACTGGAATTTTGTTGTAAAGCTCTACAATTGCCTCAAAAATCAGAGACAAGTCCAGAAGAGGAAAGATAAACACATATAATGCAGAAGATATTTGTCCAAGGTGAGCTCTCAGTTCAATTCCTTCACACCAATTACTCTATTTAAATCTATTATTCACAATCTGCAGTATATATCTCTTTTTCCCTCTGTTCAGGTCTCACTGCAACCCACTGAAATAGGAAAGTGGAAGGAAAGTTATGAATAGGAAACACATCCAC